CTGGTGTTTCTCCGCGACTATGTGGGTTTTTCTGTTGTTTCTTTCTTTCTTTTGAGTGAAAGAAACAGATAACATACTTGTTTCTTTGTTTGCCTTGTGATTTGTTTTTGTTCTTGAAATAGCGTTGTAACTCTGAAAATCAGATTCTCCCTCTTTCCCAGGGTTTGCTGTTATTTGTCATTGGTTTTATTTATTATTTTGTCTCTGTGCCAAGGATCACAGGTGTAAACTTAAAGTCTTCTTGGGTCTTTTCTGAGCCTCTCCCTGGGCATGTGCAGTCGCTTTTCTATTTCCCCTCATGTATGCAGTTGTTTCTGAATATCCTAGTCTTTAATGTCTGGTTTTTTGAAAGGGGAAAAAGAGGAAAAATGAGATGGAGTGAAAGGGTGCCAGCCCTTTAAATCTCCTGTAAGTCACTGGAGCTGGAGGCTTCCTTGAGCTGGGCTTGCAACATTGGGGGCTGCACAGCAGTGGCTGGCTGCCTTTCCTGCACTTCTGTGGTCAGAAGCAGCCATCGGGTACCAGAGCGCAGACCCCAGTATTTGGAGGAAGGGTCCTTTTTGCCCACTGTGGCTCCTGCAGAACTGCTCCAGGAACACACACGCGGCTGCCTGCCACACGGCTGGGGATAAGCCAGTGCAGTTGTTGTCTGGATAGGGACAGATTGGGGGCTGAACACTTCACCATCTTCACAGGATCCTCCTCCACCTCGTTTTGAAGAATATTTCAGCTGTATATAGAATTCTGGGAAAACAGGTATATATTTTTTACAGCAATTTCTTTATATTGTTTCATTGTCTTCTGACCTTCGTTGTTTTTGTTGAAAAGTCAACTCTAATTCTTCATCCCTGTCTATATAGTTTGTCTTTATTCTCTGGTCACTTTCAAGATTTAAGGTTTCTTTGTATTTCAGCCCTGTGGTGTTCCTAGGTGTGGTTTTCTTTGTATTTATCCTCCTTGGGTCCTCTGAGATTCCTGCATCTGTAAGATGATGTTTTTCATCAGATTTGAGGCTTTTTAGCCATTATTCCTTCAGCTATCTTCCTGTCCTATTATTACTCTCTTTTCCCTGAGGAACTCCTATTAAACATGTGTTAGTCCATTTAATATTTTCCTACATGTTCCTGAGACTGTTTATTTTTATTCAGTCTGTTTTCTGTATATTATTCAATTTGGATATTTTGTAATGACCTTTTTTCAAAATCACTGTTTTTCTTCCATCTCCAATTTGCTGTTAAGCCATTAGGTGATGTTTTCACCTTTCTGTCTCTGTGTCTTTTCTCATAATGTCCCTTTTTCCCAGTTTGCTCTCTAGCGCTTCACTCCACTCCCAGTCCAGCAACCTACTTTCCTTGTCAGCCATTAGGAATAAGAAGCGGGGGGGGGTCTGGTTATAGTCATGAGCTGTCTCCATAGCTTTAAAACGAATTCCACTCACTGGACCTGCCGGGGGGAGTGTGGGGGTTGTGAAGTCAGTCCTTCACCCAGTTCAAGAACCCACCCATATTTGATAGTCAAGACATGGAACACCCTAATGTCCATTAGCAGATGAATGAATAAAGCAACTGTCACACACACACACACACACACACACACACAATGGAATATTTTTCAGCCACAAAAAAAAAAATGAAATCCTGTCATTTGCAACAATGTTAATAGACCTTGGGGGCACTGAATTAAGTGGAATAAGTCAGACAGAGAAAGACAAATACTGCATCATTTCACTGATATATGGAATTGAAAAAAAAACCAAACGCATAGAAATAGGGAGGAGAATGGTGGTTGCCAGGGGCTGGGGTTGGGAAATGGTGAGTTGCTAGTCAAAGGTTACAGACTTCCGTTAGAAGCAAGTCCTGGGGGGTAAGGGACAGCATGGCGACTGTGTTGTATACTTGAAAGTTACACACACACACACACACACACACACACACAATGGTAACTGTGAGGTGATAAAGTGTGATAACCTATTGGAATCATTTCACCATATACACACGTATTCAATCATTACATTGTACTGCTTAAATTTACATGTGTTACATGTCAATTACCTCAGTAAACCTGGGAGTCAGCCTTATTAGCAGCAGGGGGCATGCACCTGCTCCCATCCTTCCCGCAGTGACCAGCCACACGTCACGGAGAGACGGTGACAGGCCTTCCAAGTCTGGAAAGTCTCAGGCATCACGTGCGGGCTCCCGCTTGTCAGGCTCGCTGTCTTCCTGCCCCAGCATCCGGACCTGTGCTCTGAGAAGCCCACTGACCTCTGTCGTCTTACCTTCTTCATTTAAGGCCTAAGACAAAATCAAAGCCGTCTTCCTTTCTCCGAACCCTTCCTTTCCCACCTTTTTCCTACTGAACAAAACAAAACAAGAACAAGAAAAAAAACATGTTGAAAAAGCATTAAAACACCCAGAAATTCTCACTGAGACTTCCCTTCACAGCAGAGTTTCACTTGGGTGTATGCAATCTAGGAAAAGCAAGCACACTTGGCCAAAGTAGGAGCTTGCCTGTTGTTAGGATGGACTTTCTCAGTGAACCAGAAACGGCCGAGGCCTGTATGTGTGAGGCACCGCGTCTTGGGGTGGCGTGTGCTCTGAGCAGGGCTCTGCGGGGCTTCTCCGCCCCACCCCATCCTATCATCCCTGCAGGTTTCTGTCCTCAGACTCTGTGCTCCCTCCACTGGCAGCGTAACTGCTCCCAGCCCAGGCTGCTTGTTGGCCTTGCAGAGGAAACGTCAGATCCGTGACTTGGGCGGCAGCCACATGGCTGGTGGTCCCCAGGCCCTGTCTTTGCCAGTCCTTGGGATAAAGAGTAGAAAGCAATGGGTTTCATCCTGGTGATTGATCGAATCAGCTGGGTCCACCTGCCCTGGGAGTGGCTTGAGCAGCAGGATTTCCAGAGGCCTGCTAAGGGTCTCCAGCGTCCGCAGAGCTAGGGACCAGGCTGTCATGAGTGGACACATCAGCTTCAGGCGCTCCACTGGGCCTGCGCTCTTACTCCCTGTGCCAGGGTCCAGCGGGACCACGAGGAAGGTCTTACAACAAGAACCAACTGATTAAAAAAAAAAAAAAAGAACCGACGGATCGAACAGCGAGGCCATCCTGGGGTCGTGCACACAGAATGACTCTGAAGGACCCAAGTCCTCCTCCCCCATCCCTTCCATGCCCAGTGTCACAGACAGTTACCCATCCTCCCTCAGCAGCATCAGACAGGCCACTGCCAGTCCCCATGGCCACAGCCTCCATTCTCTCTTCCCGCTGCAGTGTTTTTAAACCCTGTTCATTACTCCAGCCAAGAATTGTCTGAAATTTCGTTTCACTGGTATTGTGATCGCCAACGTGAAACTAGTCAGTGGCATGTCACTTGTACAGGGCCTCTTCGCACTTTAGTGGGTCAGTGATTCTTGGGGTTGAAGTGCGGACTGATCCAGTGAGTCTGGGTGGCCCCCCACCCCCCAAAAAGATGGGCTATCTTCCTGTAGCTTCAGAGGCTCTGGCCGCTTCTGTCCGAGAAGTGGGGCTCGCGCTGTGGGCGTGTGCAGAATACGGGCTCGCGCTGCCTCTGGTCCCAGCAGCCTGGGTGAGCCCCGCTTTGCAGTTGTCAGGGCTGACAGTGGCTTCCACTGCCTTATGGACACGAAGCCGGTCTGTGGCAGCCTCGGAATGACCTACCTCATAGGGTTCCTAGTTGTCACCAGAGGCCGTGGGCCTCAGAAGACTTCTGCTGAGGCTGAGCGATGCAGTATCCATCTTCCTCAACGTAAACCTTTCCAAAAGGAAAGCAGCACGAGAAATTTCATTCAAGGGGCTGCGAAGCCCTAAGGACCTGCTGGGTGACTCTTGGGCCCACTGCCCTTGCTGGCTTTGGTGCTGAACGAGCCCCTATGACAGCTGACTGTCATCTCCAAGATGGGGGCCACACTCCATGATGTGAGTTACCAGCCTGAGCAGAGCTCAGTGCGTGCACACCTGGGGCGCTGGGCAGCCCTACCCTGCTTTTCCTGGCACCCGCTCCCTCCTGGGACTGGGCAGAGGCTGCCTCGGTGCCTCAGCCGTGGGCTCTGCCCCTTGCTCACTGCTTCTTGCTGCCAAGTTTCTTCTGGAGCAAGATGGCTGCTACGGGGTGTGTTCAGACTGTGGCACAAAGACACAGAGCTGAAGGCTGAGGGGGAGGCCGCACTGAGACCCACCCACGTGCGTGACATGAGTGTACGTCCATGTGGCGTGGCCTGAAGCCACTCGAGCGATGCAGAGGGAACGGCGATGGCAGGTATGGGGGCCAAGTTGGGTCTCGGCTCTGCACCCCCTTCTCTCTGGGACCTTGGGCCTTGCAGCCTTGGTGGTTCTCTGGTGCTTTTAAATAGACCCTTTAAAATCTGGCTCATCTGGCTTTGTCTCTGCCAGAGGGCTGGCCAGTTACAAAGCAGCTGTCTGCGGCCCAAAGCAACACTCCTTTTATTTTGTCCACTCTGAGCCCCCAACGTGCTCTGGAACTCTAGAAGCACTGGCCATTCGCGCCGTCTCTCGCCAGGACCGCTACAGCTCTTCTTGTTAGAAATGGTGCCATAATTTGTTCCCATGAATTAGATTAGTGGTTGCCGAGTCTTCCAAGAACACGTCTGACATCAGTTCAAGCCGTGGAGTGAAGGTGGGAGGAAATGAAGGCGCGTGGGAAGGGCAGCGTTCATCCGGTCAAGTGTGTCATTTATAGACAGAAAAAGGATGGCTTCCAAATACACTGAGATGGGCGGGGCCAGGCACGTGTTCATCTGTTGGTTTTCTGGGGACAGCTTGGGGCAGGAAAGGTGCGGGCCGGGGACAGGACGCCTGGATCGTGGCGCGCCCCGTGCTCTGGGAACCGAGGGTCTGTCATCCGCTCACGACCAAGGTGACATGTGGCAGCCTCTGCAGGAGCAGCTGGCCTGTGGCAGGACCTCGAGCATTTGTTGAATCTTTAGAAGATAAAACTAAGGTGTTTTGTATGTGTTTTGTTCTGCTCAGATTACCAGAAAATTCAGGCTGAATTCTGAAGGCAAACTTGAACAGACAGTCTCCATGGCAACCACTACCCAGCCCATGACTCAGCATCTTCACGTCACCTACAAGAAGGTGACCCCGTGACCCAGAGCGGAGCTTCGCCCAGCGGCTGACCGTGTGTCCTGGTGACACTAGGCTCCTCAGCAGGTGTGGGCGTGGCCGCAGCGTCTGGTGGTCTCAAGGGTGTTGTCCCGGGTTCCTGTAATGACGTAGGAAAACCAAATAAAAGGCCTTTATTTTTATGGCTGAGCATTTTGAATATTACTGCCTGTGTAGACTGGAGGTGTCTTTATCTGCTGGTGACTGTTTTCCAGAAGCTTCTCCCTAAAAGGTTAGGAAGGATGACTCTCTCTCTCTCTCTCTTCTTCCTCCTGCAGTTTTGACAAGATCTGAAATATTTTTAAACCATAAGTAGAGTGGTCAGTGATAAGCTGAAGACAAGGATGGGACAGAAAGGGCTGTGCTGGCCTTTGCTTTACATTTAAGGAGCTGACGAAGCCCAAAGACCCCATTTACATACGGACGGAGGCCCTTCCCAAGGCAAGAGGATAGTGAATGTAGGTCATTCTGTAAATTTTATTTTATTACTCAGTAGTATCAGATTCCTTTCTTTCCTTGTTGATTGTGAGAGTTTGTAGACTGCTCCCCACTCCTGCCTGTCCCCCAGCTTTAAACACCTGCCAGCGTTTCCCAGACCAGAGGTTTTATCTGCTCTCCCCTCTTCTTTTTTGCTGGAATATTTTTAAGCAAAAGCCAGGCATTTGTCATTTACCCCTAAATGCACTGAAAACAGAACCTTTGTCTTCTTCACACCCAGGTGTCGGAAACCACAGGGGACAGACCTGGTGTGAAGGGGGAGGTGTGCTGGCTGCAGGGGCAGACGCAGCCACAGCCTTGGGGACAGAGGCATTTTGGGGTGCCCGTGCCTAGGAGCTCAGAGGGGACCCAGGGCTGGCGCTGAGCTGCAGAGGAGCGCGGCCAGTGTGTAAGGGACTCACTCAGCAGGTACCCTGGTGCCAGGGGCCAGCGAGGCTGGTGCTCAGCACCCCAAGGAAATCAGGTACAGTTCTTCCGCAGCCAAGTCCTCACGGGTCACAGTGAACTTTGATACCAGATGTGTTATGTACCTCCAAATACAGTGGTGAGGTAGGCGTGGGACGCATATCCCCATTCCAAAGGGCAGAAATAAGAGAAATGACAGATCCGAAGCAAGTGCAGGACCTTAGGGCCTCAGAATAACTCTCTGGCTCAGTGTCTGCCCTCTGGCCACAGGAGTGGCTGTCCTCCCAGCAGCTTTGCTGGGCGCAGCACACTCCGCATTTATGGGTCACCATGTGCTTGTACTTCTCCCGAGCTGCAGTCACACACCAGTGGCCCTGCCCACCTGGAGTCACCCTAGTGGGGGCTCCCTGTGGCAGACCCCCATGTGGGTCCTGGGTCTCTACCTGGGTTGCAAGCCCGACACTCGGCCACTCCATCCTTCAAAATCTGGACGGAGGTAGCAGAGCCCCCTGCCTCCTGCTTCCTGCTCACTGGTGGAGATAGGACCTCGAGGACTCAGAACACCTGCAGTGTTTACCACCTGTGCCCTCCAGAGGGATGGCACCAGAGTGCAGGGAGCGGGCCCTTACGCTCTGGGCCTGTGAGGAGGGGGGTCATCTCTGAAATGCCCTGGGGTCATCCTCCGTGGTCCTGGGACATTAGGCCTGGCTTCTGTTTAGGTGGCTAATTCCCCCTCGTCTTGAGAATAGCGCCTGGCTTTTTTGAGACAGCTGATCGATACCAGGCTCCTTGTCACATTTGTCCACACCTTCCACGTGGTCCCTCAGAAGATGCTTTCTCATTACTTTCAATATGGATAGGCTGAGAATTTTCCAGATGTTTGAGGTCTGCTTCCATTTTGATGAACGATTCTGTCTTTAAGTCATTCCTCTCGCATTTTACTATAAACGTTCAAGAGAAACTAGGCTGCTCCTTCAACACCTTGACGGTGCCTGGAAATTTCCTCAGCCAAGTACCCACTTCCATCGCTCACACATTTGCCTCCCACAGACATCGAGGGCACGAGCGTGGCTCAACCAGGGGCCTCCCCACTTGTAACAAGGGCCGCCTTCCTGCGGTTTCCAAGAACGTTCTTCATTCCGTGAGACGCCATCAGAAGGGCCCCCGCTGTCCACATTCCCACAACAGTCCACTCACGGCGGCTTTGGTGTCCTGTCCTGTGAGAAGGTTGAGGCTTTCCCTCCACTGCCCTCTTTTCTCTCTGGGCCACGAGAGTCACCTAAAACAGACCATTCATGGCACCGTGGGCTTTTTCTAGCAGGCACCTTAAGTCTTCCAACCTCAGCCCATGTTTAGATTCTTTTTTTTTTTTTTTTAAGATCTTTATTGGGGAATTGGGGGAGGGAACAGCGCTGGGGAATTGGGGGAAGGGGAACAGACAAGTTGCTATCCTTTTATTCTTCGGTCGAGTTGTGGAGGATGTTGCTTCACTGGCCCAAGTTGGCACCATCATTGCGCTCTTCCCGGGCGAGGCAGATCAGTCCCCGGCTTCTGGACAGCCGCTCACGCTGGCTGCTGGCTACACACGGCAGCCCAGCTCCAGGTTGAGCCGTTACTCAGCATCTTAGCTGTAGAGGGCAGTGTCTCTGGCCCTCATGTGGGATCCGAACCGGGGCCCTCTGGTGTCCCAAGCCAGCTCTTAACCAACGCGCCACTCGGCCGGCCCCCACGTTTAGATTCTTGTCACAGCAAGTACCCAGCACCCGGTAACACTTTCTTGTAGTCTATTTGGGCTACTAGGACAAAACACCATAAAATGAGTCATCTACAAATGACAGAACTGTGTTTCACAGTCTGGAGGCTGAAAGCTCAGGGGCATGGTGCTGACAGGTTGGTCTGGTGAGAGCCCCTTCCTCATAGTGGGTGTCCCCACATACACTGGCTGTGGGGTGAGGGAGCGCTCCGGGGTCTCTGCCGGGAGGGCTCCAATCCTGTCATGAGGGCGAAACTGTCGTGTCCCACTCATCTCCCAGAGGCCCCCCTTCTCTTACCATCACTGGCACTGGGGCGAGGATTTCAACGTGAATTTGGGGAAAACATTCAGACCACAGCACCTAGAGACCCTGGGGCTGGTGTCGGTGGTCTCCACTGCTGGTGCGATGCCAAAAAAAGCTGGGAGCATCAAGGGAGTCCCAGCCCCGCAGCCCACGCCCCTGCAGCCTGCCCTGCCTGCTGGCAGCTGGAAAGGGCGTTAGAAGGGCAGCACCCAGAGCAGAGCCAAGAGATGAGAAGAAACTGACGCGGTCATCTGGTCATCTCGCCATCCCCATGCCACTGACTCGTTGCTGATGAAGCTGCTGACGAACCCTACAAGGCGTTCCTGGTCTGCGTTCTGGGCTCATCTGGGCTCCCTGTGTCTGACTTGTCCCCAGCTCCCCTCTACTTCCCGTCGTCTGGGAGTTGGGTTGAAAGTTCTTGTTGGATACACACTTCCTGAGGGGTGCCCCCTGGGTCATGTGAGGACCCTCACAGTCCGCTTGTCTCACTGCTGGTGCCAAAGCTCCAAGGGTGACAGCCTGGCCCTTCACTCTGCTTTCATCAGCCTTTCACCTGAGGGTGACACAGTCTGAGGCAGCTTGCTTGTGCTCCAGTGACTTGGGGACCAGTGGCTGCAAGTATCTGGGAGAACTGCCCTCCACCCACTGGGCTGATTGGTTTCCCAGAAGGAGTTCACACCAGCGTAAGAGCTTAACTTTCCCTAGGGTTGGCTGCAGAAACAGCCCAAAGCTGTAAAAAGCCTTAGTAAGAGCTTAAGCCAAGATTTTGAGGATTTACTTGCCTGAGGCAAGATCACAACGGATGGAAAGGTACTGCGGAGAAGGGCAGTTTCCATAGAGTCAAAGAGAAGAAGTATGAAAGGTTCCATGAAACCCACTAGGGGCAAATGAAGGGGGCGGGAGAGAGCACAGCGGGGAGATCTCTGCGTCGGGTAGAAAGGGAATGGGAACCGGTGACACAGACTTCTCTTATGTGGGTGCAGGACAGTTAACAGTGACCATTCAGTGAATAGAGACCCATGTGGGCCACAAGGTAACAGGGAGCTGCTCGGGGTCTGCAGGTGGAAATGACTGACATCCCAGACATGTCGCCTCGATGCAGACATGTCACACAACGGACAGGCTCGCTTTTCCGAAGGAAGCGGTCACCTGGTGCGAGTACCCACGCGGCCTGCCCGGCTCGGGGTTAAGCTTCCTTCGTCACTGGGCTTGTCAGTCTGTGTAGCCTTTTCTTCTCACCTTGAACTGTCAGTTGTTAAAGTAAGAGTGCCCTGGGCCCTGGGTGATGGGTGACGCTGTGGACCGAGCTGTTTTTCACCCCCTCCCCTCCCCTCCGCTCCTGTCACAGACCCAATACTATTGTACATTTGATGGGGTTCTAGTGAAGTGCAGCTTTTTCCTCCTTGACAGACAGGAGGTGCCCCAATGACCCTCTAGGTGGCCTGATGAAGCCTCCAATCCCGATGGCCTGAGCTCAGTGCAACAACTGCCCCCACATCTCCTGCCCCAGAGCGAGTTTTGTGTCCTGGCAGGGGGTGGGGCGGGGTGGGACTCAGATCCAGGCCTTTCTGTGGGCAGAATCGGAAAATGGTTTTGTATTTCCCCGTTTATTCTCACTGAGCTGTGAGATTAAATTGCGGAGATCACGACCCTTTACCCTTAATTAGTTTAGCATGCAATGTACACAGTTTTTAAGAAAGAAAAAAAGTAGTTTCCAATTCAGATTTTAAGATTATAAATTGTTTTACTTAAATTCTTTGATTTTACCTCTTTTAAGATGAGAATCTTGGTTCTGTGCAACATTACATTAGTTGCTTTTTCTACAGGACACATAATCATTCCAGAATAATACTGTTGTTAACAATAAGGTTACTGATTGGAGTCTTGATTTTTTTGTTATTTTTTTGCACTTTTCTCATTGAGGATATAGTTAAAATATAATTGGAATAACAGATTTCTCTGGTCGTTTATGTCACCAACTTGATATATAAGCTCATTTATTTAATTTCTACAAATTCAGTGTTCTCTTGTTAGTTTTGCTTATGTAAAACATCCCATGCGACATTATTGTCAAAACGGTAAGATACGGCACTGTTGCCCCACACGGGTGCACAGCAGCAGGGCGCCCTTGGGGCCACCGTGCCAATTTACCCCGTAGGTCCCTCATGCCAGTCCTTTGCACTGTGTCCGGTCCCTTGCTGACCAGTGTCACAGTGAGTAACTTGGTTGGCATTTCTGCCGCTGTGTCTTTGGGATAGATTCCTAGAAGTGGGATCGCCCATCTCAGGGTGAGTGCATAGATGTCTCATCCAGGCGTTGCCCCTTCCCCACAGGGAATGTGCCGCCTGGCATCCACCCAGGTTGTGTGAGGCTATCTGTCCCACTGACAAGTCTGTTGTCAGATTTGGATCTGGGCGAATTTAACGGGTGAGACATGGGACGTTGGGGTAGTTGGGGTGTGCATTTCTCTTCGTTGTCTTTTTCTTCTTGATTTTTGGAACTGATGAGCTCTTTAGTTTTTTAAAGATTTTATTGGGGAATTGGGGAAGGGGAACAGACAAGTTGCTGTTCTCTTGTTCTTCAGTCTAGTTGTGGAGGATGTTGCTTCACTGGCCTATGTTGGTATTATCATTGTGCTCTTCCCGGGTGAGGCAGTCGCTCGCTGGCCATTAGACGGCCGCTCACGGTAGCTATGGCAGCTCCACTGCAGCCCACGCCGTCGCCGGTGACTCATGGTTCCCAGCTCCAGGTTGAGCTGTTGTTCACCATCTTAGCTGTAGAGGGCAGCCTCACTGGCCCTCATGTGGGATCCGAACCGGGGCCCTGCTGCTCAGAGCTCGTGCTCCCAAGCCAAATCTTAATCAACGAGCTACTCAGCCGGCCCTGATGAGCTCTTCTGAATTAGAAATATTAATCCTAATATTCCTAATTTACTTACAATTCTTAAGATAAAATGCACTGTTATGACATAAAGTCAATCCTTTTAACCATTTTAAAGTGTACAGTTCAGTGTCATGTAGTGTATGCACACTTGTCAACCATTACCTGTCTACTTCCAAAACACTTGTCACCCAAAAAGGAAATCCCGTCCTCACCATTAGTCACTCATTCCCGACCCCCAGCTGACACACTGTTTTCTGTCTCATATTATAAATATTTTTGATAACGTTAAATGTTACCTTTTTTTCCAGTATGTATTGGATTGTCGGAAAAGTCATGACGTATTTTGTCTATGTTTTTCAAAGGTCATTTATTTATATAAAAAACAAAGATCAATCAATGATATATTGCCCGTTTTGTTCGATAACCTTTTGCCATCTTTCAGTGAGCTTCATAATTCCTCGTTCATAGAAGAACCTGTCTTTATTGGCGAAAAAACTTAACAAGGTGCTTATTTACAGCCTCATCTGAATTGAACGTTATACCATGCAAGGAGTTTTGAAGAGAGCAAAACAAGTGGAAGTCTGACGGCGCCAGGTCAGGCGAGTATGGTGGGTGTGGCAACACATCCCATCCAAGCTCCAGCAATTTTTGACGGGTGATCAAACTTGTGTGTGGTCTCACGTTGTCGCGATGGAACACAACTTTGCAATTAACAAGCTCTGGGTGTTTCTGGATGATGGATTCGTTCAAACTGTCCAATTGTCAACAGTACACATTCGAACTGATTGTTTGGTTCCTTGGTAGGAGTTTGACAAACATGACACCTTTAAGATCCCACCACACTGAGAGCATAACCTTCCTCTGATGAATGTCTGCTTTCAAAGTCATTTGAGGCGAATCATCACACCGGGACCAAGACCGTTTGCAATCACATTGTTGTAAACATTCCACTTCTCATCACCAGTTATCAGTCGCTTCAAAAAAAGATCGTTTTCCTCACGTTTAATGAGCATATTGCAGATGTTTATATGCGCCGTCAAATGAACTTCTTTGAGTTCATGCGGAACCCAAATATTGAGCTTGCTTACATATCCCAACTTCTTCAGGTGGTCGTGAATGCTTGAATGATGGATGTTCAATGCTTCTGCAATCTCTCATGTCATGTAACGTGGGTTTGACTCGATCAGTGCCTTTCTTTTGTTGTCATCAACCTCAGTGGGCCTCCCTGACCGAGGAGGATAGTTGAGATAAAAATCACCAGCATGGAATTTTGTGAACCATTGTTGGCACTGACGTTCTTATAGAGCATTGTCATTTTAAACTTTATGCAACTTTTCACAAGCTTGACGCGCGTTCTTCCCTTTATGGAAGTAAAGCAGTAAAATATGACAAAAATGCACAGTTTGGTCTTCCATCTTCAACTTGTTGTAAAAGCTCCAAAACTCAACCAAATCACTCAATTTTTTTTTTACAATGAAGCTAGAACTGTCAGCTGTCAAATGACATAGCAATAACTTAGATGCGAATGACTCTAGTACTTCCAAAAATGAACTAGTGCCATCTGTTGCAAAAATGCGTCATGACTTTTTCGACAACCCAATATTTTGTCTTTTATTGGTCCTGGATTTTAAATCGTATTTAGGTTTTGCCCACTCCTCAGTTCCAAAGAAAGTCACTCATTTTTTCTAGGACTTGTTTCATTTTTCATACTTCGCAGCTTGACCCATCTGGTTTTGTCTGGGGTGTAGTGGGACGCACAGGTGCCCTTCACTGTTTCCCAAGCGGCTCACCAGTGTCTGCATTTGGCCTGGTGCCTCGCAGAGATGGCTCATCTGATGGCCAACTCTCACCTCATTTCTCTTCTAAGGGTTTTCCTGGCTGTTTTTGCTTGTTTGTTTCTCTCATATGAACTTCGTATTTATGATTAGCTTGTTTAGATCCAGGAGGGAAAAAACCATTCTGGTATTTTCATACGGATCACATTAAATTGATAAATTCACTTATGGAGAACTCTTCTGTCGAGCTTTCCTCCCCGAAGCATGGTATTTCTATCCGTCTACGTCCACTTGGGTGTCTTTAAGGTACATTAGTTTTCCTCACACAGGGCCTCACATTTCATGTTTGGTTTATGCTGAGAATTTTATCCCTTTGTTGCTATGGAAGTGGGGCACGTCTTCATTGTTTATCTTCTGACTGAATGTTCACAAAGACTACTGATCTCTTTAAACCCCACTGCTTTTCTGAGCGCTGTCGGTGTCTAACGTTACTTTTTATGCTGGAAATAACACCAGAGCATTTGATCCAAGAGGCGAATGAGGAAGCGGGGCAGGCGCAGTGGCGTTGGGCGGGGTCCATCTAACAGCTGTGCCTCCCTTCTCTCCCCTGCCACACTTGCTGCGGTGAGCGCTCTGGGGAGGGCATGAGGGGAGCAATACCGGCCAGGCCGGGGCGGGCGATGGGGGTGCTGAGGACAACCGCACCGTCAGGACTCCGGCTTGGTCCGGAGGCGGCACAAAGGCAGGGCTGGATGACCTTCGCGGTCGGTCGTCTGGCTCAACCTGCCTCACACAGAGAGGGAAACTGAGGCCACGTCGTAGCCCTCCGGCACCGTGTGCCTGGGGCCCAAGAATGTCTTGGCGGTGGACAGCCAGGAGCCGGGCTCTGGACTGAGGGGCAGCCTTCAGTAAGCCACTGGGGCTGTATCGGCCAGGCAAAGGGCTGGGGGCCGTGGGCAGCGAGCTGCTGACCCTGCCGTTGGCTCACGTGTGTGCATGTGTGTGATAGTGTCACGTGCTCTTGGCCCGCGGGAGCACAAGGCAGTGCAATGAGGGGAGACGTTAGGGTAACTCTGGGCTTCACGTTTTCTCACACTGGAGTCACGTGCCTCCTGTCCGGTCCCTGGGCATAAGGAGCACTGGTGGGGTCGCCCACCACTGCCATGACACTAAGAATGTAGCACACACTCCGTCCTCAGTCAGACGTGCCAGCCTGAAGCCCCACATTCCTGGTTCCTGCCACACAAGGACACAGCCACACGGGAGACCCTCCCCTTGCAGAAGCGGAGTAAACAACAGCATGTGAGCCTTATGTTTGTGGGCTCAGCAAGACCCTGTGTTCCTCCAGCCGTGGCCAGGTCCGAGTCACTTTTAGGCTGCATGTCCTGACATGGTCACCCTTCATGGATGAGTCCCTGGTGTCGAGTGAGAGCTTGGTGTTCCCAGCTCCCTCCCTAGGGCCTGGGAGGTGACCCTGACTTTCTGGCTCCAGGAGAAGGGGAGCGACGGGGAAGAGCCACAGGTCGACACCAAAGGCCAGCCCCAGCGCTCCATGTTCAGAGGGCCTGGGTCTTCAGAGGAGAGGCTGGGTGGGAGGACAGCAAGGCCTTCGGCCGAGGGCCTCGTGGGTCCAGGCTGGGGCTGCGGCCTCTGCCCAAGCCAGCTCATCGCTCCGGCAACAGCACGAAGAAGGCAGCCTTCAGGAAGCGGCCGAAGCTGCAGAGCACGGCCACGAGCCAATGGGCGCGGAAGCCGGGGTCGGTACTGACCACGCACTTGAGGACGTCGGTCTGGGAGAGAAGAGGGGACAGTTAGCGGAGCTGCGGGAGCACCAGGCTGCTAGCTCCTTGCACCCGCTTGAGGACTCACATGCGGCCATTAAGTGAAGGTCTGTGGTCTGGTCCAGACGGAAGGCTCCAGCATGGGACCAGACCCAACTGTGAGCATGCAGACGGTGAGAAGGGGGGGAGGGCTTAAGGCGGGACAGCAGGCGGCTGGCCAGGCCAGCAGCTGGGACACTGCCAAGCAGGAGAGAAGCCTGCGTGCCCCCACGCCAGGATGCCACCAGCTCCCAGCTGGGCTCCCTGCCCCTTGTCCCTTGCCCACAGGGGTTATAAGCACCCTGCAGTCCTTCTGCGGGGGGCCTTGGAGCCTGGGTACCAGGAACAGGGACAAGAACCAAGCTTTCCAGGAGCCCAGTGAATGGCCACTCCTCATTTCCATTCCTGCTGAGAAGTGAAATCCTGTCCTACAGCCTGACCGTTGGCCATGGTGTCAGTCAGTGTCCTGGCCACCCAGTGCCCAGCCCCAGCTGGGCTCCATGGAGAGGGACAGGGAGGAGACAGAGGCCCCAGGGCCTCAGTGTTGGGGGATGCCCACAGCCATGGAGTCACCTGGAAGCAATACCTCCCCGCCCAGTGCCACCTTCACGTGGGACCGCAGTCCAGTCGGTCACCTGACCTCAGCCCTCGGCTCCAAGCTCAGCAGGGGCTGAGCGCCGCCAGCCCGGCCCCACATACTCCTGCCCACCACCCATTCTTCAGAGGGAGCACAGCTCTCCACGGGGGTGCTGGGGCTTTTCCGCTCAGGGATCTGAATTCTGGCGTCCCAGGCCCAGGGGCCAACATCCACAGGCCACCTTCTGCCATGCGGGGCCCCGGGGCAGCAGGGTTTTCCGCTGGAGTTGGGAGAGGGGACAGCGCCGGAGCTGGGCAGCAGGGGGTTCCGGCCCAGCAGCCCTGCCTGGCCTTCTCCTCTCAGTGTGCTCGCTGTCCCCTCCTCCCACCTCTAGCACCCCCCTACCGGCACTGGGGGTTCATGCATGCTCCATTCCCAGCACCCCTGTACCCCGAGACCCACTCACCCATCCACCACGCCTCCGCAGCCAGGTCACCAGGGTCTTGCGCACAAACTCCCCGAGGCAGTCGACGAGCGCGTGGACCATGGCAGGCTGGGCCTGGCGCACACAGTCCACGGCCAGCCCTGCGGCCACCAGGTACAGGGACACCACCTTGCCCCACGTGATGCCTACAGGGAGAGAGGCGGACTGGTCAGCAGGCTGCCAAAACCCCACTCAAGTCCAGCCCGTGGGGACACGTCCCCTGCCATTCTGCTGATGACCGGGGTCAAAAGTCGGGGGGCTAGCCCCTACCCGCAGGTCCCCCTGCACAGGATGTGCAGCAATTGTCTGCTACAGGATAGCAAGGCCGTTCGCTGAGGAGGAAACTGAGGGGGTGGAGTACTAACGGACCCAGCTGGACACAATGGTCAGTGAGCAGCCCTGAGGAGCACCTGCCCAGCTGGTCTGTGCCCCTGAACAGCCTGTGGGCAGCAGGACATTCTCCACAGAGATGCCAAGACCCTCGGAGGAGGACCTTTCCGACTGCTAAGCTGCTCAAAGGCAGAGCTGAGAAGGAGCCCACCTGGGAAGGTGCCTGCGTGCTAACAGCATGAGCTTCCTTAATGTGTCAAAAGCTTTCATAATCAATGAGAAACATGAGGTCTCTCAAAAAAAAAAAAAACGTGACCACAGGAAACGAACAGCTGATTCACAAAAGAAAAAATACAAGTAACATGTCAGAGGTGAAAAACGCTTACCCTCAGCAATAACCAGAGGGTAGGTGACAATGAGATGCTCACTGTAACCTGAGATGAAAGACATAAATGCAACTCGACGATGCAGGTAACTAACTGCAGGGCCCTCAGCTGTATCTGTAAAAAGACCTTGCGGGAAGTGGCTGGGCCACCGTCACAGCAGCACAGCCGTCCCTTGTGAAACAAGCCAGCTCAAATTAATGCCTGTTCAGGAATGTTCACAGCAGCCCTGTGAAATTTCTACCTTCTACCCAGAAGGTAGAAATGAGAAAACAGCCATTGCCTGTGAGTGGAAGCAAACTAGTCCATCCACACAGTGGGGTGCTACTTGGCCATAAGGAGCAATGCACTGACACGCCACAGCACAGATGAACCTTGACAACGGTACGTTCAGCAAAAGGCAACAGACACGAAGGCCACACATGTATGAGCCCACTAATGTGAAGTGTCCTGAACAGGCAGATCCATGGAGACAGAAGCACGGCAAGACTGGGGCACAGGGTGGGAGTGGCAGCTTCCTGGGCCCCTGGGCACAGGTGTTCTGGGGTGCCGACAGATGTAGGGTGGGGTCACACATCGTGAATGCACTGAACAAACGCCCCTGAACTGTACTTTCAAATGGTGAATTGTATGTGAATTTCACCTCAATAAATTTAAAACCCCATGAATCAGTCCACGTCACTCCCCTTAAGCCCCCTTGTCACTGCCACTTCCCATGTCCTTCCGAATAAATCCAACGCTGAAATCCCACTGAGCTGGCCCGGCCCCTCAGGCCCCACTTGCCGCTGTCCACAGCGTTCACCCATCCCCAGGGCTCCGATCAAGGTGCCCCCTCCAAGTGCCACCCAGGCCATCAGAGCATCAGATCCTGGTGACAGTGCCCGCACGCCATGCTCCCCGTTTACCAGCTGCCCACGGGGTGCAGGGCTCCGTCCTGCTCACCGCTGTGCCCTTGGCGTCCCCCAAGCCCACACCCAGCAGGTGCTCGGCACCACCAGAGGGCAGGTGAAAGGTTAACATGGGAGGGTGGGTACCTGGAGCCTGCCGTGGGATCTGAGGAAATGACACAGGTTCTGTGGTGCCCCCTGCAGAGGGGACGGTGAGCTGGGAGAGAAGCGGGGGAGCCTGGGGGGGCGGACCTCCAGTGTCCTGTGTTCCTTGAGCTCTTCTGTGTTGTGTTTTTTATGGACATATTATCTCATTACCATTAATTCATCCTTTCAAAGTGTGATATTCAGTGTTTTTAGTGTGTTCTCAAGGCTGTGCACCCAGCACCGCTGTCAAGTTCCAGAACTTTCTCATTATCCCTTAAGGAAGCCGGCACCCATGAGCAGTTCCATCACCCAGACCCTGTACTTCCTGTCTCGGGACATGCGAGCCCCGGACGTTACAGAGGATGGAATTGCGGTCGGTCTAGTGCGTGTCCGCCTCCTTTCACTCACCATGTTTTTGAAGCTCATCCATGCTGTAGTGTCCTTTTCATGGTGGAGTAATACTCCACGTGCGGAAGGCTCCCCCTCTGCTCACCCTCCCCTTGGGATGGACACTGGCCACTGGAGCTCGGCTGCTCTGGAGCTCCGTGTGCACGTCTCTCTGGGAGCTGGCAGGCTGTGGCCCACACTCCGTTCCCACCAGCAGCTTATGGGGCTTCCAAATGCAGGTCATCCCAACAGGTGCTGCCGCCCGGGGCTGTGCCGGGCTTTGTGGCATCCCGTGGTGGTTTTGGCTGACAACCGCTGGTCTTTTAAGGGCTTATGCGCCATTCGCACATCTTCCCTGGAAAGATGCCCGTTCAGATCCTTTGCTCGTTTTTAAACTGGGTTGTCGTTCTAGTGTTATTTCTAAGAGTTTTTATCTTTTATGTGCTCTGACCTTTCTGTGGTAAGATATTTTGCTCTTGTAATAAGGGAGGAGAAAGTAAAAACTCTTGTCAACATTTCATGGGGGGAGAAAATTAGTTTTTCCACTGAAGCGAGTGAACTAAAAAGCCCAAAGTGCAAGGACAGCAGCTGCCTCTGCCTTCAAGGGGGCTTGGCCACCAGGGAGCCCTGCCCTGCAGTCCCCGAGCTGCCCACAGCCTGGCCAGAGCTAGAGAAGGTGAGGCCTGGTGGGGCCTGCACCCCACAAGGGTCTGTGGGGGGCAGAGGAGGAAAGTCCAGCCTGAGGGTCAGCGAGAGCAAGGTCCGGCCTCATGGGAGGGGCCGAGGGCAGAGAAGGACAAGGGCAGCGAGCACCTGATAGCTGGGACTCGCCCTGCCCTGTGTCCAAAGAGTCTGAGGACCCTGAGGGCTGGGATGGACCGGTGACAAGGAGCCCGCAGGCGGCAAGCAGGAGGGAACCTCCCAGGCCTGTCCCTGCACTGGACAAGGCTGGGCAGGCCAGGGTGGGTTGCTGTTCCAGCCTGTCCTCTGACCCCTGCACACACATCCATCACTACCAGGGGTCAGAGCAGCTTCTCAGCGATGAACCTTCCTTTTAAGCCTGCCCTGGGCTCATAAACCAGCCGCCCGACAGCCTGGAGACAGACATAGGCGGCCCCCCACGCGCTGTTGTCAGGTCCAGGCTGTGGGAGCCCAGGACAAGCTGAGGGCAGTCGTCAGCCCATGACACCCTCGCGCCGCCTCCTTCACTGGCCCACCTGCTGCCCCCTCCACAAGGTGCCTGCCCAGGTCACCTGGGACGGCTGCCCACCAGTCGCAACCCCCAGCCCGCCAGAAGCCAGGTCAGCAGTGAGAAGACTACGGAGGAGCCTGCCCTCATCCGCCCCTCAGGCACTGCTCTGCCCAGGGAGATCAGCACTGACCTGGTGGTGGCCCTGGAGAAGGCTGGATTCCCCACCAGCCCGTGTCCCACCAGCCCGTGTTCCTGCCACACGGCCCACAGCTGAGGGAGGCCCACCAAGTCAGGCCCTGCTCTGTCCCCGGGACCTGGCCAGCCCAACAGGAGCTGGAAGAGCCTCCTTGGGAGAGGACACAGGAGGTCAACACCAGACACCCCAGAGGGGTGGGGCCCGCCTCTGATGGGTATGGGGGCCCCTCCACTCAGCAGGGTGGGAGGAGGTCCCCCCACAGGACCTGAGCTGCATTTTCTGGTGGTGGGGACAGTGGCTGTGCCCTGAAGCCCTGCTCTGCTGCTTTCCCAACCATCCTACAGAAGACGGAACAGGACACAGAGGGGGCCCCTCCTCCCGCAGCCGGAAGGTCTTCCAGATCGCCCCAGGGGGAAGGTGGCCACACTTGGATGCCAGAGGGCTGTTTACACTCCCCACTCCAGGTGGGGCACTGTGGCTCTGGGGCCCCAAGGGACCCCGCCATGAGGATGGCAGTTCCTAGCCAGAGTGCCACCCAGAGGGAGACATCTGTGGGTGGGCTGATGGGGGGCGTGCTACACTGGGCTGGGCTTTGGTCATTTGGATGGTGGCACCCGGCCCCTGCTCTGCACCAGGACACAGGGATGAGGCAGACTCGCGGAGCGGCACCAGGACAGGACACAGAGTCTCAGGCAGGGAGAGGACGTCTGTGGACAGCAGAGCCCAGCAGGGTCCCAGGAGGGGACACAGGGACGGGGGTTTTGGGGGATGAGTCCTGTCGCCTCCGTGAGCCTGGAGAGGGGCGCACAGACAGGACGCAGTGGGGCTGGATCTCGGCGAGGGCCTGGAGAGGAGGCAGCGGGAGACATCTGCTCCCGGGACACAGATGGGGCACCACAGGTGAGACAGGTGTCGCTATTCTCCAAAGACATGCCAGCAAGGCACTCCGCCCAGGACTCCACCCTTACGCATCCTTCCCTGAGACTCATCTTTGACCAACAGACTCGGGCAATGGCACTGACTTCTGAGGCTGTCATAAGAGCCTGGCAGCGCCCACCTGGGCTGCTTAGGGCGCTCCCCCTTGGGAGCCGGTGCCATGCTGTGAGAAGCCCAAGCCCCACGGGCCATCACTCCAGCCAACAGCCTGCGCCAACTGGCAGCCCGAGATGTGCAGCCCAGCCAGGACTTCCCATGACTGCAGCCCCAGCGAGTGCCGCACCAGAACCACGTGAGGTCCCATGCCAGTTGCCTGGCAGGCCCACTGTCCTCAAAACCAAGCGAGGCACCACAGCCCCGGCCCCAGTGCAGACCCTGGGCAACACTGCCACTATGGGCCTCCTGGGGCTCACGCGCGTGCCCACCTGCGGAGAAGATCTGGGCCGCCACGGCCAGCAGGGCGTCGGTCACCACGGTCTCAGAATGCACGGAGATGTTCAGCTGGCGTGCCACGTTGCGGTACACACTGGGCCTAATCAGCTCCAACTCGTCCCCTGCACAGACACACAGGCAGGTCAGAGGTGGTCCCACCTGCCCGACCCCGACCCACTGTCACATGGGCCTGGGACCAGCCCACTCCTCGGCCCCATAGCCACAGCTGGCTTGGGGACCCCTTCCCACGCTGACCTGGCCTGTACTGGACCCCCACCGGACCCTCCCCTCCATGGTCCCTGGGGACAGGGAGCTCAGACAGGTGCAGTGTTCCCCGCCCCCAGACCTGACTCTGTGGCCCACCCCTTCTGCCGAGTCAGCCCCCCTCCCCCAACCCCTGCCAGGCCCAAGCCTGCTGGGCCGGTGGGGCGGGGATCCCGGGGAGGAGCACGGGCCGTGCCTGATGGGTGACTCACGGCCCACAGTGAGCTGCCCGGGCGGCAGGCGGACCGGGCAGGCAGCCAGAACTCAACATGGGCAGGGACCGCACTGGGGACCCAAAAAGGTGGGCAGCCCTGGCAACTGCCTCAGAGGGCGTCCTCCCTCAGGCACGGCGCCGCTTGGTGGACCAAGAAGCTGAGCCACTGTCAGGAGTCCCCGGCGTGTGTCCTATGCCAAGTGGGTGTCGATGGGATGGCCACACTTAAGGAGACGCCCTCTCAGCACCCCTGGCAGTGAAGCACTGGGAATCCCACAGCCCTCGGACTGGGTGTCCCCAGCCCAGCCACTTCTCCAGCCAAAGCAAACAGGGAAATGCTGACTGGACAGGCCTAGCCGATAAGGGCGCCCGCGTCATCCCTGAGGCCAGCTGCACTCCGTCTAATTAATTAGGATCTGGAACCAGAGCAGAGCCGAGGCCAGCCTGGCGGGGCAACGGGGGGAGGTGGCATGGAAATTCCCAGGGCAGCCTGGCCGTTCCCACACAGACCTTAGGGGCTGCTGGGGACTGGCCCGGAGAGACTGACCACGGGGACGCGACCTGGCTTCTTCCTGTTTGCCTCTGCCCCATGAGCTGGGCGTCTGCTGAGGGGGGCTGGGGTGTGCTGGGGGCAGGGAGGCAGCGCCAGGCTGAGGGGCTCAGCTGAGCGGCTCTAAGGGCGGATGCCGCGAACGAGAACACTCCCTCTGGGGCCCCCTTAGCCATCTGGCAGGGGCTGTGCCCCAGGGACTGGACATCTCTGGGCTCAACACTGGGGATGGGCCTTGAAGGCCCGGCCTCTGAAAGGCCAGTGCTGGGCACTTGGCTTGCCCCTGCCACCCAAGCCCAGGGCATCAGGACCTGAGGGTGGAACGTGGGACTGAAGGGACAGAGGCTGCCTGATCAGAGCAGCAGAGCCCAAAGCAGGGCTTTGAGGGCAAGCTTAAACAATAGCCACATCAGGCCCAGGACAGAGGCGGCCTCAAGCCCTGCTCACAGAGAAGATGGGGGCCTGGGGAACGACAGGGCCGCAGAGTAGGCCAAGTCAGAGGCAGGACTTCCTCCTGGCCTCTCAAGGAGTCTGGGGGGCTCTCGAGAGGCCAAGGAATATCTCCTCCAGAGTCCTCTAAAAGATACTCCCCAGTGTCGTCCCCACAGCCCAGCTGGAAGAAACAGCGGTGGGCAGCGGACCTCACGGGAGTCCACGCTCTGGACCCCTGACCATCTCCCAACCTCACTTGCTCCCACACCTGGAAACCTCTCCCCTCCCCTGAGGCCCAGGTGGGAAAGCACCCCTCTTGCAGCCCTCTGCACTGGTCCCCATGGAATCTGTGTCACGCGCACACACACACTCTGCGGGGGGCCAGGTACACACACAGCCCTGCTCCGGGGGCCTCACAAAACAGGGACAAGCAGACATCTGTGTCAGCCGGAGAAGAGACAGGCTGCCCCCCCAACCTCAGATCTGGCCCCAGCCTCTCCCCACACTCTGCCTGGAGAGGACTGGTCAGGACTCCCTGTCTTTGCGACCACCCGCTCTCCATGTGCCCACTCCTGGGACTGATCATGGTTGGGGTGTCAGGACCTTGGTCCTTGTGATGAGGGGGACTGACTGTGGTGAGGGGTCCAGGCCTTGGAGAAGGTGGACAGTTACTTGGCTGTGTGTGACCCCAGAAACAAGTACCTCCAGGGGTCTACACATGACCATCCAGACAGGTGGGACTTTGGCTCTCCAGGCCACGGTGGTTTCAGCTGTCGTGGGCACCCGATTCTGCGGGGGCTCCTAGGGGGTCTCCAAACCAAATGGAAAGGGCAGCGGAGGGCAGGATTTCAGCCAGTAACTGAAAGGAACTATTTTCCAAAACAAACATCTAGACACGTGGTCCGATCAAGGATTTTTGTGCCCAGTTGAGTACAAGGGTCACTCTGGAAGTTTAGCCACCAAACATTCTCCTTCCGGAGCTTTCTATCTTTTTATGGCCAAAATGTCTGAAATCTGGGCTGAGCCGGCCAGCCCGGGGGAGGTCCGTGGGCGGTCCGCGCGGAGCCGCGGGGATCCCGGGGGCATGGGGGGGCGTCCGCCTGGGTGGGCCTGCCTGGAGTCCCCGGCGGTTCCCGGCTCCCCCGCCGGCCGCCTCTGCCCCCGGGGAGACTGAGGCCCGGCCGCGGGCGGGCAGCGCGCAGACGCCCGCACCCCCGCTCGGAGGGGCGGCCCGGCGACCTCGCCCGCCCGCGGGGCCCGCACTCACCCAGGCGCAGCAGCACGGCGCACACCTCGGCCAGGCGGCCGCCCGGGGCCGGCGCGGCGCGCTCGGGCGCGTTCCAGGCGAGGCCGGCGCGCAGCAGCCGCGCGTGCACGAACTCCCGGCCGAGCGCCTTGGCCTGAGCCACGAGCTCCTTCTCGGTGGGCGAGCGGTCAAAGGCGTCCATGATCTCGGCGGCGAAGCCCGAGGAGCGCCGCAGCACCTCCATGGCGGGGACGCGGGCGGGGGGCGCCGCACCTGCGGGCAGACAGCGCTCAGCCGGGCCTGGCCGGCCGGGGGGCAGCGGTCCCGCGAGCGGGGCGGGCAGCGGGGCCGGGA